ATGTTGCTGTTCCTTGCCAGGTCTTTCTGCAGAAAGCAGATGATCCTGTGAAATAGTGGCTAAAAGCATAGCACAAACATCATATGATCTGTGTTTTAATTTCTGTTGATGTTATTTGGGATTAAAAAGGAGCCTTAGCTGTTCCAATTGCTGCTTCTCAATAGGATACTTCTATCAAGTGAGGTAAGGGAACGAAATGACCGGTTGCTAATTCTTGGCAAGCAACTTGAGCTTAATTACACTACTGTACTTGAATTGCAGGGGGGTGTCCTTTCCAAGACAGGTGCTGAGATTGCTGCCTGCTTGTATTCAATTTGTGCCTTTATGAAGCAACACTTTATGGATATATGAAGCAAAATATGATGACTTAGATCTAAATCCAATTATCTCAGAGTAGACCCATTGAATTAGTGAGACTTCTGTGAATCTAGGTGAGACTAACAACTGGATTCACCCCTTATTTCACAACTGAAAACTGAACCCCCTCCCCAATATCAATAGGATCATCCTTTACCTTATTACTTATTCTATTTTATTTAAACCATTACATGCAGTGATCCACAGCTACCAGGAAAACATCTGTACTTTATATTATTATGTTTTCTAACAGTGAACTTCGCAAAGCTTTGATTTTTGTGACCCTGGTTTTAATATTGGTTACACAAGTGGGAGGAGGGGTTCATGATGTTTTTAGAAAAAATCTCAAAAAGCCTCTTGTGGTGCTTTTTAAACTAATGACTCTCAGAAACAGGAATAATAAATGGCACACTGAGAAATTCATATATTCCAAATGAGATGGTTGCAATCAAACCTCTAATTTCTCACTCTGAAATCTTGGCCTCCAGTGATTTTCATTAATATAATATGTATAAATTAAATCTAATCCTCTTCTCCAATTTAATTTTTTTAGATTGTAAAATATGTATTTTCACAGCTCTTGAACTTTAAAAGGAGCATGCATATCCAACCTACACTCTAAAAAGACCCTTCATCTTCATAGGCATCCTTCAGTCTCGAGAGACTATGGTAACATGCTCCGTATCGATAAGTCTCCTCTCCAGAGCATGAAGCCTGGCTAAAGTAGTATGGAGGATAGGCTGTTACCCAAGCAGCAGATCCCCCCCTCTCCACGTTGCTGAAATGGTCCAATGGAAAGGCAAGAGCCAATACAACTGGTTCCAGCAACGTTGCAGGAGTTGGCAGAATGACACGAACTGCCTTCGGGACTCCAGCTCCGGATTTTGCCTCTAGGTTAACTCCTGAAGCCTTTTCCATGAGTGGATATAGCCGCAAGGCAGCAACGTTTGAAATCGGAATTTTCCTTCTCCTAGAAGGGCTGCCTTCCATGGCTGACGAGCCCCACCCACCCGGCCTGCTCTTTAATAGTGCTGAAGTATGGTCCAGCCCTTAGAACTTTCCTGCCTCCCACATGTATGCAAATCTAATTGGCTTTCCTATTTCCATATTAGGGCCAGAGATAGAATCAGAGAATTTGAGAATTTCTGGAACATACTCATTTAAAGCAGAAAGCCCCACCCCCTAGGCCCCACCTCCAGGCCACGTGGTGGGGGAGACAAAAAGAAAACCCAGGGGGGAAAAACTCAGCAAAATGTCCATTCAAACATACCTGACCTTCAGCCTCAGCCCAGCTTCCTAGGGAAAAAGGCCCAGGGTCCTGGGACACGCTCATTTAAAGCAGAAAGAGCGGGTGGGGCTTTCTGCTTCTGCTAAAAAGACCCTATAAGGTACAATATAAATAATGTACACACAAAATCAAAAATGGGCACTCCTCCATTAACATTAAAAGGGAATTCTTAACAAATAAAATGGCTGGTAGATTTGTGTCCTCTTTTTATTTCAAAAATATCTTTGTGAGTGGAATTTTTATGCTTATTTTTGGAGACTGCTGAAAACAGGTAGTTTACCACAGTGAACACCCCGCTTTTATCTCCCAGTCAGTTACTGACATTCCCAAACCCAGGGTTTGGCTCCTGGACCTTTTGGCACCCAAACAAGCATCTCCATGCACTAGCAGAAGTGACTTCACTTCCAATTTAGGTGGAGGATGGATCTTTATTTTGTTCTTAAGGAACAGTTATGCCACTTGAAGATGCAGTTCTCTGATTTTTTTTGTGTGGGAGTACACTTTGGTTTGGTTTGTTTTTTTGCTGAGTGTTGGGAGGGGACACAATGGTATTGGGGTATCAGATCCTTAAGAGGATGGCAGAGTCCTCCCTCTATAGGCCTGCCCAGGCATTAAGATAACCAGGGGAAGCCTGTCTCTCGGTCCCACCACCTCATTGATATACTTGGTGGGGGGGAAGCCTTTCTCTCGGTCCCACCACCTCATCGATATACTTGGTGGAGACACGAGAGGGCCTTCTCTGTTGCTGCTGCCACTCCCTCCCATAGGAAGCTTGGGTGGCCCCACCTTTGCTGTCCTCCTGCAAGAAGGCAAAGATCTTTTTCTTCAGGCAGGCTTTTCCTTAATCACTGGTGGCCTGAGAGGGGTTTTAAATGTATTGCAGTGGTTCTCTTCAGACAGGCTTTTCCTTAACCACTGGTGGTCTGAAAGGGGTTTTAAATGGATTGTTGTGCTCTTTTGTTTGGAACATGCTTTAATATTGATTTTATTTGCTGTTTTAATATTCGTAATATGTGTTTAATTATTTTTAAATATTTTGTATACTTACTGTTTTTAGCTTTTTAATGCTATTTTTTATTTATGTAAGCTGCCTTGGGTCCTTTTAAAGAGAAAGGTGGAATAAAATATTTTAAACAAAGATTAGAAGCCTACATTGTTGTAGCTGGCTTTTAAAAGGTTAATCCCAGAATGAAATCAGACATTCATAGAGAGCTATTTCAGAATTCATCTGGGTATCTAAGTATAAGAATTTTCATTGTTGTGATAATTCCCTGAACAACTTGTCTAATTTTCCAAATTTTATTTATCTACATTGCTTCTGGTTCCATATCAAATTACTCCAAAATTGTTGTAATGTTCAAAAGTCTTCCGGTATGAAGAAGACTGTAGGCACAAATACTTAAAAATACATCCTTGCAACTTATGAAAAGATGGTGGTATTGAAATGTTTAAAATATGGGAGCAACTCTTGCAGGAGTAAAGATTCTTTTAAAAGTCAAAGAGAACAACATGAATATTTCAAATGCAAAGACAAACAGATGCTTGACTGGTTATTCTTGACAGAATTTATACTTTATTTGTTTTTATTTTACATAAACAATTACTTATCTCATTTTGATTTTCCCACAAGAGCAGTGGAGGGCAAGGGTTGCTGCTCCTATTCTAATCTTCACAGACCTGGCTATGCCTTGGCACAGATATACTGTACTGTATATTTTTCTGATCTATGTTGTTTAATCTTTCTTTGGCTGATGTTTGTGAGGCTGAAACTGTGTATTTACTCTCTTAACATACAAACACATTTCTGTATGGCATTTCATCTATGGTCTTAGCAGCCACTGCACAGCAGTACAGCATCCAGAGCAAACCTCAGAGATTAGAGTTATGCATGTTGACTCAGAAGTCAGTTCTTCTGCATTCAATTGGATTTAATTCCGGGCAAGTAAGGTTACAGCTTAAGTCTCCCATTGTGAACGTAAATTCATTTGACAACTATGCCTGCAGTATTACCTACAGGCAATAAATGTTTATATAAAGATTGACTTGTTTCCTAAGGATTTCATTCTCTCCAGCAAAGTGGGGAGGCTGGGATAATCATCAATTTGCAAGAAAGGGTCAGAGGTGACAAGCTCCATAAGAGTAATAGACTATGGCTTCTTCCATCCACACTTTTCATAACTAGAAGTATTTTCTCCTTCTGTACTCAGCTCTTCTTCCCCAAAACACAAACACAGAGACACACATTCTGTGTTGGAGCTCCTCTCAAATATCTCACCAGGTCAGCTCTCTTTTCCTAGCTTCAGCCAGGCCTGCAAAAAAACCTACAATAATCTGCTGCATAGTCTTTTGTTATTTAAAGTACAATAGGGTAGTTGTTCCAGATAATGAAAATATACATTATGGGCTGTATATGGAAGCAAAACATCAATAATAATGCAGTTTCCTTTCTGGCTGCGGAATTAAGATTGGTTGCTGGCCTGATTTAGGAGACTAGACATAATGCATCAATAGTTGAGGAGTCATACACGCCTGCATTGCCCTGATCTTTACTAGAGATGGGCATAAACCTCGTTTTGTATACACAGCCCCACAGGTGCTGCGCGTTCCCTTCCCCTGCCTCCCCAGCTGGATCTCCCACTCCTCAGCTGGGGCTCACTACTCTCCTCCTCTTGGTTGTTTGAGTAGTCCCAAGCAGGAGCATGGGCTTGCCTATCCTGCCTCCTTGTCTGAGTGGGTGATCAGTCAGGGAAGCCCATGCTCCTGCCAGAGACTAGTCAAACAGCTAAAGAGGAGGAGGAGAGGAGTGTGCACCAGCTGGTGAGTGGGGGATCCAACCAGGGAGGCGGGGGAATGTAATGTGCGGCACTTGTGGTGCCGTGCATACGAACCTCTGAACCGAGGTTTGTGCCCATCTCTAATCTTTACTATACACTTCAGATTTCAACTATATCTTGCTTTTCTGTAATAAGAGAGGTGTAATGAAGGAACAAACAAATCTTGATTCAACAATGGGTAATCTCTGACTCTCTGCGATTGCCATTATGCCTGATCAATATTTATGCTGGCTAGAACTGGATGGCCACATCAGGGGCTTTCTAAGATGCAGATGGACTCAAGTCATAATGTTCACATTAGTCACGATTGGATATGCTGAATAGGAGTGCTGAGATTTGCAGACCACAACATCTAGAAGGAGCTGTACTTTCCCCATCTCTCTCTTTTATGGTCTTGTTTCAAGGACTTTGTTCATATTACTTGCAATATTTCACCATAGAAATGCTTAGAATTGGATGTAATGTTGGTACCAGATGTGTAAGATAATATGCTGAAAGAGTGTTTCAAAAATTTCTTTCAGCAATGCTATCAACCTTTTAAGCAATATTCCAGTTTCATGTTTGGATGTACTTATCAGTCCATCAACTCAAGAGAGCACAGAGGAAACAGATCTAAAATACAATGGCATGAACATGGATGCAGTTCAGGTGCTATTGAAGTTTATGGAGAAAAGAATTGACAAGGTATGACTACTATATACAAGTTCTACACTAAATGTTACCAGGTAGATGTCTGTTATTATTCTTGTGACATATGTTTCTTTTTGGAAGCAGTATGTAGAATATTACTTTGATGATTTATAGCTGGAGGTGCAAAGATTATGCATCCCCCTCCACTCTCTTTCCACCACACTTACACAGTTATTGACCATTTATTAAACAAAACACTTATTGTTGAGAGCCTTTTATAAGCCTGCTGGATAGTATCTCATTTGGCCCTAAAGCCTGAAATAAGATTTTTCTTACAGAAATGGGCCTGATTCAAAATCTCCTATCTGCTTTTATTTATTTAAAATTATAGTTGTGGACAAACTACCTTTTGAAAATCTCCATCCTATTTGTTAAAAGCAAATTCAGGGAACAATTTCATTGAACATCTCTGAGGAAGGAGACCAGTGTCTCAGAGGATTTCACCACTAACAGTGGTGTAGCAGTGTAGCTTAGAGGGAGCATTGCCTCTAAGCTGCAGCAGGAGTAATGAATATTACTCCAGAATTACTTCTCCTTTGAAATTCTCAAGGCTTCACATTCTAATGGGAGAAAATTTTGGCACAGTGCAGTGTAAAATGTTCAAAAGTTGGAAGATGGCTGTAGGCAATACAAGGTCAAGAAACTGGATTTACATACAACTTTTGCAGACCACCTGGCATACTCAGTATTTGTTTAGTGTGCAGAAAGTGATTAATGTCATTCAACTTTGATTTTATGGTTGGCCAGGAAAAGGAGAAGTTACATAATTCATTCCTACGTATAATGCTTTTCCTAGTCTGTTTGCCATATATTTGCAGAATCTTCTGTGCAAAATAGAAATTGGCTCTGTTGTATCAAACTGTTTGCACTTGGCCTACATTTATTTAACTTTATACAGTATATCAATGGTTGTTCTGGGTTTTTCGGACTCTTTGGCCGTGTTCTGAAGGTTGTTCTTCCTGACGTTTTGCCAGTCTCTGTGGCCGGCATCTTCAGAGGGCAGCAACCTGTACTCTGGTGTAGTTGGCTTGGGAGTGCAGCATTTATGGCTGTGAGATAGGCTTTTGTCTTTTCCTGTAGATGGGTGATTAGTGTGTATTGTTGTGGGTGTATTGTTGTGCTAAGGGGAAGAGATTATCTGTTCCTGTGGTTGATGGGTGTCATTAGCTGGTCTTTTATGTGTAGTGATCCCCTGTCCTTGTGGGTGGGTAGAGTTCATTGACCTTTTACACGTAGTATGTTTGATAGCTGGTAGCCAAGTTTTGTTGAGCTTCATACTTTCCTCTTTTTTGTTGAAACTGTGCTTGTGCTTGTGGATTTCAATGGCTTCCCTGTGCAGTCTGACGTAATGATTATATATCAACTTTCTGTCTTAAGACACACAAGGTGACTAACAGTCAATGGTTTCATTGAAACATGTCCTAATAATATCTCCAAATGGGTTAAGACTCTTTGGAAAAGATCTTGATGTTGGGAAAGTGTGAAGGCAAGAGGAGACGGGGACGACAGAGGACGAGATGGTTGGACAGTGTCATCAAAGCTACCAACATGAATTTGACCCAACTCCGGGAGGCAGTGGAAGATAGGAGGACTTGGCGTGCTCTGGTCCATGGGGTCACGAAGAGTTGGACATGACTAAACGACACAATGAAATGGGTTAATGCTTTCTGATGAGGGTGTTTAGTTGGTTAAAAGCAGGTGGTAAACATGTATCTGGGATCCTTGATCAGTCTTAGTTGCTAGAGGCATGCATCCTGTGCATTTTCAGATACAGAAATACTCCTTTAAACATTTCAGAAGGGCTTCCAGCAACCGCCATGGAACTATAGTGACTTGGCCTCTCATTTTGAGAAATTCTGTATTGGCTGGGGAGGAGTGGAATTTGACTCTTGAGGTGTTTTTGGACTCCCAACTTTTTTAGTTCTACAGTAGTGGCTATGCTTGGTAGGACTTGGGTGGAGGGACAAAACATTTGGCAGGCATCATTTGTACACCCCTGCTTTAGAATGTGGTATAAAATTTCAGCAACTCTGCGACAAAATTGTTTATCTGTATTTTAGGGGAGTAGCTATCGAGAAGGACTCACCCCAGTTCTCAGTTTATTAACAAGATGCTGCCGATCGCATCGCAACATAAGGAAGTTTATCAAAGCTCAGGTGAGTAATGAGTATAACAAAACATGAGACTTTTTAATGTGGTGGCCATTTAAAATAATGGTGAATCACATTTTTATACTGTGTGTTAATTGCCTGTCACAGAGTTCTGCTTGGTTTGATATAGATGCATGTGACTCAGTATGGGAATATTGGCATAAAAGGACAAAGATCAAGATTGGGACTGTTGATGTAGTGAAGTGTCGTATCGATTTGGAGGTAAATATTAATTTGGTGGGAGGGGGGGTCCTCAGCAGTAATATATAAAAATAAGATTTTAAAAATGAATTTGTAAAAATACAGAAAAAATACAGTCATAAAACTGCAATGTTAAAATCAAGTTAAATCACAGTGTTTGTATACAGTACATACCTGCTTTTTCTTGATGTAGTTGTCTAGCAAATTTATTTTTGTCACTGTCTTTATAATGTCTGACAATCCAATTTGAGCAGGGTTTATATCATGGGGTCATGCTATAACCATGTTCTCCTCCTGTTCACATTGTTGTTGTATTGACACTGACAACAGAGGACAAAACAGCGGGAGGAGGACAGAGAATGAGCCAGCACATGAAGCATGTGATATTCTTTCTCTACCATATAACCCTTGCAAATGTAGTTATAGTTACACTGCAAAAGGAATGACAATATTCCTTGTTAAATTAAAATTGTAATATACCATGATCAGTAAACTGTTGTTAATAGGAAAGGGAATTAATTGCAAGGAAAGTATTTCTTCTAACATTGTTTCCAGGCTTTATCGGAAGAATGGAGCCTTTTAAAATGTTTTAAATGAGAAAATAAGTGTGACAGCAGCATTTTCCATTGGGATTAATTGTTCTAATTACTTGTTTTTCTCCCATTTAGGTGTTGCCTCCCTTGAGAGATGTATCTAACCGTCCTGAAATTGGCACAACGCTAAGAAACAAATTAGTGCGCCTTATGACTCATGTCGATTTAGGAGTGAAGCAGATTGCTGCAGAATTCCTTTTTGTTCTTTGTAAAGAGAGAGGTATAGGCTTTTTCATATCAGTAAATGAAGGTGGTGACTGTAAATGTGTAAATGGTTACTTGCCTGGTCATCTCTTGCAGGCTAAAAGCTGCATTTAAGGAAGCTTGTTTAAATGGAAGATTGTTTGTTAATTCAGTATAACATGCCACAGATTATCTATATAGAATGTCTGGACAATGAGGTAACAATTCTTATGGATTTACTTCATAAATCTCAGTTAAGAGAGTTGCCCTTTTACCATACAGTTGATATCTCAATATTCTTTTTCTCAGGCACTACTGCATTTAGGAATAAATCAGCAACTTTTTAGAACACTGCTAAAGCATATTCCTTATTCATAATATACTAAAATATACAGGTTTTGATAGCGTTGAATGAAAAATAATCAATGTCCGAAAACTCAGTATTGTTTTGCATAGTGCTAGACCAGGATACAGCCATATCTTGTCTCCACATTGTCTTCTTTCTATTCTCAGTCAAAGAGTATTTTTGCTTTCTTGCAGTTTGACCTTTACAAAAAATTCAATCTTCATTTGTTTTTATGTTTTTAAAAACTCTTCAGTGCTAGCTCAAATTGGACTGTCTTATATTTATTTATTTATTTATTATATATATTTATATTCTTATATTTTGGTTCCATAAAAAATAAGCCTGTGAATCTAAACCCATTGCTTGAAATATGTTAATACTATCCTGTGTTAAAGACACTGATTTGACCTCTCCCAATGAAGCATTTTCCTGTCACTTGGCAGTTGACAGCTTGCTGAAGTACACTGGCTATGGCAATGCAGCAGGACTGCTGGCAGCAAGGGGCCTGCTAGCTGGAGGAAGAGGGGAAAATTGGTACTCTGATGATGAAGACACAGACACCGAAGAATACAAATCTGCAAAGCCAAAGTATGATATGTAGATTTTAAAGTAAACATAAAATAAATGAGTAAAACCAGTGAATACAATCTAGACTACTTTATTTCTCTTTATATTTGTTTAAGATTTAAAAATTTGTCAAAGATACAGACATTTTAGACCTATGTTATTGTGGATGGTAACTTTGTTTTGGCCAAAAGCCACATCAAGCAGGCCTAACTGCCATGGCTATTAAAGTTGAGATGGGGGTATTTGTATACAAATATGAATACCCCTGCAGAGGTGGACATAATGATGGTGTCCACTCACCCTTCCACTGTTGCTGCAGGCTCTGCGCTCGCTTCCTATTGCTCCAGAGCTAATGGTCGACTAGTCACTCCTGGCAGGAGGTAGGATGACAAGCCTGTCTGCTAGGTCGAAGAGTGACTAGTCGACCATGAGCTCCAGAGCAATAGGAAGGGAGCGCAGAGCCTGCCAGACCCTTGCTATATCCGCCTGTATTTGTTTACGAATACCCCCATCTCTACACCAAAGTATACTGAGAAGTATCTATCAGGTGGATCTTGTTAATCTGGTTTCCAAGATTTCTATAAAAGGGACACTGCGACTGTTACATTGTAAAATTTTGACAGAGAAGCGAACAGGTTTTTGAGTATCATTCAAAGTGTGTTTATTATATATTGTGTTCTTTCAAAATATGGATTAAAAAAGAATTTAAATGAATAACCTCATCAAAATGAAGGGCTTCTTCAACTGCTTTTTCCTGTTGTTTTGCCCCTCTGCTCCACCCCCAGCATTAACCTTATTACAGGTCATTTAGAAGAACCAATGCCTAACCCTATGGATGAAATGACTGAAGAACAAAAAGAATATGAAGCCATGAAACTTGTCAATATGTTTGATAAACTTTCTAGGTAATGTAGCTGCACAAGCTTTCCTTTTTCCTGGAATATAGGGATTCTTTGGCTGCATAGTCTCCTTCCTTAAGATTCCCATTTTGCTTCAGTTGTGTGTTTGTATCTGTGCAGTTCTTAATGTGAATTTATGGACCAAGGGCCATCATGTTCTCAAGGAACTGAAATGTTGGCAAAAACTGTCTAACCAGTGCCACTGAAAAACTTTAAAAATGTAGCCCTCCTTCAGACCATGTTTTTCTTATGCTGTACTCACAAAGCATTGCCCTTTCACTGTGCTGCTTGTACTGGTGAATACAAGTTATGTTATGGATTCTGTGCAAGATCCCTCTCTACCTGGATAAGGCTTGATCTTCTAAAAAGTCTACATTTACTGTATTTTTCCGTTTATAAGATGACCCAATGTATAAGATGGACCCCCCTTTTCTAACCCCAAATTAGAAAAAGCAGGGGTCAAAGGGCTCCCTTTTTGCTAAACTTCACGTCTTGGCAAAAGGCAAGGAAAGTGGCTGTCAAAGTGACTGCCGCTTTTCCTTGCCTTTTGAGAAGGCATGGAGCTTAGCAAAAAGGGAGAGAGAAACTCCTCCCCTTCCTTTATGCTTAGCCCCATGCCTTCGCAAAAGGCAGCAGTAAAGAGCTGCCTTCCATGTATAAAACGACCCTCAATTTTTTCTCAAATTATTTAAGGAAAAAGTGTCATTTTATACACGGAAAAATGTGGTATTTCTTTTTATATGAAATAAGAATAAAACTGATACAATGACATAGGGCAGTCTTAATACTTCATTTTCTCTAGGCACTGACCAAAGTACATTGCCTTTTATCTTGTCCTCTTAATTTTATATGATCGGTGTGGCAACTCCATTAAAGCTCTATTAAAACAAATTATGTAGAAGAAGAAAGATCAGTAGACCATCCAGTTTAGGATGAGCCACTGTATCTCCTGTACCAATAGAGAATGGTTGACAGGTTTTAGTATAGAGAAATGATGTATAAAATTCTCAGAATGTTCCACATAGCCATATATCAACTTGAAAGTTTTTTTAGCTAGAAAAACTTTGTATTTGTGGGACCTAAATAATTTCTGTGCACCCTCTTATGCACCCTCTTATTCTTAATTTGAACTAAAGGGTTGTAGCAGGGTTCATTTCATACAGTAGATCAGTAGCCCCCAACCTTTTTGGCACCATGGACCGGTCCAATGTGTGTGTGAGAGGGGCAGCCGTGTGTGTATGCGGGGAGGGGCGGCCATATGTGCACGTAGGTGCGCATGGGGGGCGGGATATCTGTCTCTGCCAAGGCCACAGCCTGGTACTGCCAAGGCCACAGCCTGGTACAGGGGACCTCTGCGGTAGATGATCTAGGGCAGTGATGGCAAATCTTTTTGAGCCAGAGTGCCCAAACTGCAAAAACAACAACCCAGAGGGTGGCAAAGCAGGAATCCTGGGCACGGAGATGCCTCCAGACCCCGCTCTGGATCCGCCTCCAGTCATACCCAACCCCACCACTACCTATAGCTTGGCCAGCCTGCCAGCACCAGCTGCTCTGGATCCTGCCCTGCCTCCTGTCAGGGTGTTAGCGCTGCAGCTGCCTCCTCAGGTTTGGCTGCTGAGGGTAGCGATCTAGCGACTTATGGCTGGCATGCCCACAGAGAAGGCTCTGTGTGCCAGCTGTGGAATGCATGCCATAGGTTTGGCATCGCTGATCTAGAGTTGTTGTTGTTTTTTTTTAGAAGGATAACAGCAGAAAGCTTTATGAAATACTCCAGTGGACTGCTATATATGTAATGTTTTAAAATTATACTTACTATGATATTCCTTTCTTCTTTTTTACTCTGACAGGCAGATTTGGTTTGCAAATACCTGCTTCTTATAGCATTTAAAATACTGGAATTTCTCAAGGTGCCATATGCTACTTACTACATTTCAGCTTTGTAAAAAAAATAAAAGTTAGTTAAATACCAAAGTATGGGTCAGTTCTGCATTGGAGTGCATTTCTTTGTATCTGTTCATCTTGTACAGCAGGAAGATTTGAGTGCTAATTAAAATGCTTTATAAATATTTTTCTTGCAGTTATAAACCAGTGGCACAATTATGAATTAATAGAATAATTTAAAATGTCAGGGTGCCTTTTCCAAGCCAACTCTATATTAATAGCAGGAATCCTTTTTCTGATGAAACAGTCACCAATTATCATAGTTGGAGTTTTGTTATACATTGACAAAAAAGTCAACAAAACAAGTGTGTAATAGAACCCGTATAAAGAACCTTGCTCATTAATAATACAGAATTAATTATAGTGGTGATTTAAGAAAACAGGGCTTCCATATGGTTTCCTTTCCTTTTCTGATCATGGAACAAATGGTGTACATAAAAGGATTGGCACTATTATGTAGCACTCAATTATAAGGAGGTAAATAGGCCCCCAATACACTTTTTTATCAAAAGAGTAGATCAGCATTTGCGGTATGGTTGTTTCATTGCAAGCAACCCTCATTAGTTCAGAGACCTGTTCTGCACAGACCAGGAAGGTAAGAAAGACTCTTGAAAACAAAGGATTGTTTTGGGAGTCGTTATCAAGCTAAATGACAAGCAGGAAGTAAAAGCAAAGATTGTATAGATAATTATGAAGAGATTAATAGGAAATTTGCTAGTGGGGAAGAAAAATGCATTTTATTAAGGATTTTATTATGGTATTTTTCCCACCCAGGATTGCTGCATATAATGTGTGGTCTGGAACTGTCCAGTTACATGAATATCACTCATGGATGTAAGAAAGATGTAGTCATACGTGTGTATATGTTAAAAACTTTTCTGCTGTTTTAAATGATTTCTGTCAGGGTTTTTTGTGAGATTACTCTTGCACATGTGAGCAGGTTACTTAGAGCAGAGGTCCCCAACCCCAGTCCGTGGCCCAGTGCCGGTCCGTGGCCTGAGCCAGACTGGGCCGCGGAAACAGATCTTTCCCCACATGCACTTCCCCCCGCTCAGCCCCTTTGCGGTGCACGAGCGCTCCCCCACCCCTTCGCGCATGCACCCGAGCACCGCACTGCCGATAGAGGACAAATTCTAATGACACATTTTGTTTGGGGAAATCCTTCGTATTTATATATAGGCTGGTACTAAATGGGTAAATCCTTGATGGTAAGTGTTTGGAACGCCCCCAAGCCATTTTTATACTACTCAGGCACTGTAAACAAACCAAAATTCACCATCTCCTTAATTTTCTTGAAGCACTTCCTATATCTGCTAATGTTCCTCTCAGGAGTGTTGTGTTATGGCTACTGGTTGTGATCTGACAGTTGTTTCTGCTTCTCTGGCAACATTCACTTGCACTGCAATCCACTATACATGTTCAACTAAGAAGTAATCTGCATTAAGGTAAAAAGGGCTTAGTCCCATATAAGGGGACAAAAATTCAGCATTGCACAGGCGAACCTGTTGTGCACTGAGACCTTCCCATCCGTCCACATGCTCTCAAAATCCATCCCAGAGGGCTGGGGAACATAGCCCGCCTAGAGTGGGCTAATAGTCCAGATAGGCGGGGTATAAATTAAATCAATCAATCAATAATAAATATCCCTATTCTGCTAATGGAGGTTATTCTACTGGTGGGGTAGGTACCATCCTATGCATGTGTAGGATTACAGCTTTAATGGTGGACTTGTTCTGTACAAAGCACCCACTTCAAGGGATATTCTTAATTTGGTGGAAAGCATGCTAGAAGGGTTCATTGCCTGTATAGTTATGGGTTGAGCCCTTTTTTGTTTAGTTTCAAAAACACGCTTCTAAAGGGATCTCTTAAGGTAAGAAAGCATCTGAGAAGATACTCTTCTGTAGGGCATCCATGAAAATATGGTGAGGGCTTTTTGGAAAGAGGATCAAGATGTTACCATCCTTCCAGCTTTCCCCATAATCCACATATAATAAATGAGATGATAATCAGATGTGGGGCAATGAAGGGCTTAAAAAAATCTTTGCTAATACTGTTTGATTGGCTTAATCAATAATTAATCATCTTTATATGAGCTGTAGCTTGTGGCGTAGATATAATTGGATTAACTGTGAGAGGCCTTTGCAGCTTTGAAGAGATTAAACTGGCTGTCAATCTTGTAATTAAACAGCTGCAAACAAAAGCAACAGTTTAGAAAAAGAAGGCGTTGGGGAGAGAAAAAGCTGACTGAATCTAAATGAATCCACAAGTGCTTAAGCACCACTAGAGGCTGACTGAGCCGTATGAATCTGTTTTCCTGACTGACTTCTTTCACTCAGTGAAATGAATATGTATACCATTGTGATTAGGAAACAGGAGGGCTGGCCTTTCCCCAAATGACAGGTGGAACTTTTAAGATTTAACAGAAGAAGATCCTTTTTTACTTACTTTTAATTGAACAATGAACCTGTGGTGACTTCTCTATTTTTTTTTTCCTGCGTAGTTCTTAATTGGCTTAGTGAATGCAGCCTGCCTGAATGAAGTCTTTATCAGTGTTGTGCCCCTGCCTCTAATTCTCTGTCAATCCATTTTATTCAGAAATCCATTCACCCTTTCATATTCAGAAACTCAGTTGCCTCAGAAATAAGAACCACTACAGATTTGTAGCCCTTCTCCTTAAAGGTGGCTTCCTCTAGCAATAGTGACAACAGCAGCAACATCACCATCCCAGTGGTCATGATGGTTTCCTTATTACAATGAGTTAAAGCAGTAATCTGTAGAGATGAGATGGAACAGTGACCAAGCCTTCAGATATTGAATTTCAACTCCCTGAATCCCTGACAATTGTCTGTACTTGCCCATACTCCTGGAACCTGAAGTCCCTTTGAGCTGAAACATGAGGGCCATCATTTCACTGCTGTTTTAAATTTACATGTATGCTGCTGAGCCATATTGCCCATTTGTTGAGTATACTAGTGAATATTCTCTTAAACACTTTATATTATACATTACACATGACAGCTGTATTTCTTTTCTTTTTTCCTTTTACTTTACAGAGATAATGTTATAACACCAATGGGTGTTCGACCAGATGGTACAATGACTCCTTTAAAAGAAGTAGCCAGCCAATATCAAGCCAGTGAGCAAGCAAGTTCCGATTCTGACTAGAAAATCAACTGCTCTGCTTTGTCATCCATCTTCTCTTAACAGTCACCATGTCTTTTTGTGTCTGCATATGAGAACCTTTATTAGCAGAGTATGGCAGCAATTGTTTTATCAGTCAACATGTTTAAATTATAAAAACTATGTGGTGTAATTATATTAGCATTTCTGACACCTCAATTTATACAGCAACAAAAAAAGTTTATTAACTTTCGTTCACAGTATTTAAAGTACAATGTAAAATAGATAAAAATGTGTGTCACACTCTTCCTTTTTTTAAAAAAAATATTTATTTTATGCCTTACCCAAAAGAAAGAACTGGAATGTCTAAATTAAGAAATTATGAGAAATTAATGAGAAACTGAGACAGTCAACCTGTCATTTTGGGTAAAAAGCAGCTACCCAACAGATGCATATATTTAATCACCATTGGTTACACTCCTACTATTAATTGATCCTTGCTGTTTCACTTTAAAAGTCTCTAAAGCAGTGTCAACACTTGTTAAATCAGTCACTTTTACTTATTAATTATAAATAAATTTTTTAAGTGCTTTTGTATTACTTTTGCTCAAGGACAAACAAGTATTTAATCAGGATATTGCATTTGTTGCCAGATTCAGGTTTGGGAAAAGGCTTAACTCTCCAGTTAGTAATAAAGAGTATCATAGTGACTGATCTTATTAATCATTCCAAAACACACCATCTGACCTCTGCACATTTTCTGAAAATTTAAATCACAATTGATAAAATTTTACAGGGTGAAGGGTTGGGCAATTGCCATGTGAAACTTGCCTTTTCTGTTACTGAGTTACATTTTTTTAAAAAATAAGTACCTATGTATGGAAAAAGGGAAGACAATGTGTTTTGAATCATGTATTGGGAAATATAAATGATAAGAAGTGAATGATGTGTTGCAATCTATGAATAAAACTTTATACACAAGACATGTAGCACTCTCATGCATTTTTCTTCTGCTTTCTCTTGAAAATAGTTCTCCTTTTTGTAGTAGGTCCATATGGAGCTACAAAATGTTTGAAGGGACCGCATGAAATGTATGCAGTTATATGGGGAGGGCTGAAGATCCTGTTGATCAGTAAAGATGTATTGTTGTAGCGCTGAAAACTTTTTCTGACAACTGATACCATACCAGGAATAGATATGAGATTATTCTTCTACCTTTGGATGGTGACAAATCGAGGAGTTATAGCTAGTAGAAGTGGGTGTCCAGTATGGGTACTCCTATAAATAGCCTGCCATATAGAACGTTGTACCTCCGCCTTGGATTGTGTTTGGAAAAGACTGAAGTTTATTGCCACAGTAGTTTTGCCTTGCCGTTTTCCTGGTTTGAGGAGACTATTTGTGAGTCTTTTAGTTCTTTTTCACAGCCTGTACCGGGTTAGCACTATCTGTCGCATACAAGGGGCCTGCTGGATAGATGGAGAGACATAGTGTGTGCAGTTCAGATGAGGATGAGAGTATTGGTAATATGACTGGCATGACTGACCAGGTTTTAGTACAATTTGCCATCTGGCCTGATTGAAAACTGCACTGTACATCTGCTAGCAGGAAGAAGATGCTGTAAGAAAAGTGATTCAGTTGCCACCCTCAAATAGATTTAAAGAGTGCTTTTCTTTGTTATTTCCACAGGTCCACAAGATGATTTAGCAGCCTGTTTAAAAGTTCTCCAAGTAATCACAATATGTAAACCTGATAAATTTTTTTCTACTATAGGTATTGGAGTTCTGTTTGTTAAAATTATAAAAACATAACAATAAGTTTAACATTTTACTGATTTACATTTGCCTTATTCCCTTTTGTCAACAATAGATGAGAAATGTACCACATCTACCCCACCCCACACCCTGTATACATGAAAGCTACTTTTTAAAACACACAAACATTTAATTTTGGGCTTTCATTTTGCATTTCATATGAACCCTGTGTATTTGCGCCTAGTCCGTGCAACTTGTTGCATGTTATAACAATTAGTTCCATAGTCACTATCTAATTATTATTTTTAAAATTACTAGCCATGAGTTACGTAGCTGAAATAATGAAGACTTAGAATCATTTTAAGGTACCATGTCCTTATTTTGCCAATAAAGCAAACATAGTTGTAACCCACCACTTCCATTTTATTCAGAAAGAGCAAAATAAATGATAATGCAGGATTCTAAATGAGAATTCCTCAGGATTCTCTTGACACAAAACTAAATACTGACCTTTAATAAGGCAGTCCGTAGAAAGATAATTCTGCTAAACAACCCATTAAAACCATACATCTTTTATGAACAAGTTAAACAGGCAAATTAGCAAGTCCAACACTCCTTGTTTAAGCCATTAATTAAGCAAATATATCATTACCCCCTGGAATATTGATTGAACCTTTGCTAATGCTAGATTTGAAGGGAAGGAACATTATAACATCAGTAACTATACATCTGCATCAGCATTATCTTACGTTCTGAAACACTTTCTTTTTTACATTGCTGTATTCCTTTTTGGAGGAAGGGAGCATAGATCTGAAGGAGAGCACATACTTTCTAAACAGAAAGGGTGAGATTCAATCCCAGTACTTTCACATAGGGCTGATAAAGGCTTTGGCTCAAACCCCAGAAAACCATTGTTAGTCACTTCAGTTTTGAGTTAGATGGGCCAATGATCTATCTCAGCATTTGGCTGCTGCTTATGTTCCTGCGTATCCCATATTGTGTTACAGCTTTAGCTGCCCTGTAATAGTGTAGAGAACCAGGTCCAAATGCTAAATAACAAAATGGATAATTCTTGTCTATTCTCAACCCTCTCTACAACAAGACTTTTTTAAGCATAAAGAAGATAATAATTTACAAGATCAATTGTTTACACAATAAAACATATTAAAGCTCTGTTTTGCTATGAGGTGGTGTATAAATCTGGCAATTTTCATATACAGGATGTATTAAATAAATTGTTAAAATATTGAATAATCACTCTTGCTCTGGGAAATTGGCCTGTTGGAGAAAACGAGAGAATATTGGTATTTATTATATGTGGAGGATGTGCCGTTCAACCCAGTTGTTCTGATATTTACTGAAATAGAATTAATCATAGAGCAAAAAGTTTTAAGGTTACCAGATGTAACTTTTCTGTCTTTAACTTCAGGCAAAAACAAACAACTAATTCATAAAACGATTGTCTTCCTCTGTGTGTGTCTTATGGTGCGAAAAATAGGGTAATTCATAAAACAATTGACTGTCTTCCTCTGTGTGGCAACATGTGTGAAAACAGCTGTAAACTGCAAGGGAACCTGGAATTTAACTTTATATGCCTGGAAAAACAAAATAAGGCACAGCACTCTAATGGAAAAATTAAATCGCCATATCAGATTAATTAAAAAACTACTCTCAATTTCAACACACAGTTTTCTTTTACTGATTATGCTAATAAGAATAACAAGATTTACATCCCACCAGCCTCTCATAACAATCTTCTGTGTGATATTCTGTTTGCAGATTGCTTCAATGTGAATGTGAATGTATTTCTTAATTTGTAATACAATCTTCTGAAGTGGTGTTATAGTGTATTATATGAAAGACCTGTACTCTTATTCTGGTGGGGATGGTAATTTCATGTTCTTTCAATCAAGTTTTTAAAATGAAAAAAGCCCAACAACATAATTTTTGTATCTTTCCATTTGAGCCTTCAGTCATGTGGTTTGCAAATCTACCTTTGAATGTCAATCTGCACATTGAGAGGAAAGTATTTTTGCTATGATTAATTTGCATACAACCTTGCTAGTTTCTCTGAGGTAGATATCAGAGATCAAACAGCCTCAGACATCAAATTTACAAATTTAGCCCATGTTTAGCTCTCAGTGACAAAATTTAAAACAAAGAAAATTAGAATGTAAGTTGCAGAAGTGAAGAAAAATCTACCCTCTGATAAGCATAGGCTTTTCACCATTCACAGAGCATGAATACTTCCCAAGTATAAATTCAGTTTGGTCCTGAACTTATAAAAACATACATCCTATGAGCACAGTTTTCAAGGTGCTATTTAAAGCTATTAACACAATGAAGCCTGGTTTTGTGTGTATTCCAATTAAAATGGAAGCTAATAAACGAATACAAATATACAATACAGTGTATTGTGTATCTTGTCAAATGGTATGGCTGGGAGTTTATACAAGTTGACTCATGCTGTGATAATTTGCTACTTTTCATACTATGGTGGCTCTCCCTATGGGACCTTGATATTTTTAAAAAACTATGAAAATAGGCTGTTCTGCACAGCTAAAAATGACATGTTTATATTAGTTTTAGAAGAGGTAGCTGTGTTACTCCGTGCAAGCATATAGTGTAGTGTAGTGTAGTGTATTTTAAGTTTTTCTCCTTATGGGCAGTAGCCATGCTTATTGGGGTGTTCTAAGAGCTATAGTTGAAACAAGGACTTTTTTATGTCTGGGGTTTTGCTGTTGACCTCTACAGATACTAAGGAGCAAGCTGAACAGCAAGGAATGACAATACGAGTAACTGACTCTTAACATTTTAACAAGGCATCTATAAAATGGAAACACAGCGCAATGAGAATAATAAAGGAAATGTTGAATTCTCCTGGTAAATAAAGACATATACTTCAGAGCATATATCATACAAATTTTGCAAGCGGACTTCCTTAAGAGCAACTAGTATATTTTGTTCTACAAAATACAAACGGTATTCTTTTTATTAATACTGTACCTAACCTCCTTTTATTGGTACTTTTTCTTCCAGCAGGAAGAAAACTGTGTTCATTTCAAATGGCAAGATTCAGACACTGCAGGATGGAATCCCCATAAACGCTAACTTGTATCTTATATTTCCTAGCTGTATATTTTGCAGCAATTAGCCTATTAGCTGGGCAGGTTATTATCTTCTTTTTAAAAGAATACCTAACTGACCCCATCTATCCTTTTTCTTGATTACAGCCAAGTGACCCATATTGAAAAAAAAAACAATCATAAAATTATAGAGCATATTTTTGTGCTGCAGGATTTCTCAGTGAAAGCTGAAATGTTTCAGAATTGTCACTTCTTGAGGGAGGTAATGGCTGTAATATATTTAGGCTGTTTCTCCTCCTTGTGCTCAGAATGTGTATGCTAATAAAGGGCACAGCTGTAGATTCTTTATGGCCTGCTTTTGAAGGGGGGCATAATGGGGGAAGCCCAGATTGACTGTGTGTGTCAACAAATGCAGCTGGGAACTGAAAAAAAAGAAGCCCCTTGATGGCCTCTGTAACTTAAAAGTCCAAGATAAATGATGTTCCCATTTAAAAAAAAGAGAGAAATGGAAAATGGAGGTTGAGATTCAGTAAAAAGGGAGGTGGAAAAAGAGAACTGCTTAAAACCAAAGCCTTTCTTCCCTTCCGGACAGCTTACAAGAGGAATGAGCAAAATTGAACAGAGAACAGGGGAAAGCACTTCGGAGAGAAAACAAAGGTCTATCCTGAAAAATATATTGTGGTTCCAAATTATCTGGAGTACATTGTGCCTGGGGCCTGGAAAGAGTACATCTCTTTAAAAGGAGATGAAGTTGCCAACTTTTATACTCTTGTACCCCAGTTTTCATTTGTTTTGGAACCAAAAGTTGGAAGAAGGAAAAAGGATCAGTACCCTCAATTTTGCAGACAGTCTGCAGAGATCATACAAGTCAGTGATACGATGGTCCTGAGCAGGCACCATTGCATTAAATTCCATTGTGGATTTTGCCTGGTGCTAACATGGTTGGCATAGAATGGCATTTTCTACAGCAGAGGTTTCTAAAGATACTTTACAGGAACTCCTTATACATTGTGTCATCTTCTGAGATGCCACTATAATCCACTGTGGAGCCCAGGAACCTCACAGCAGTCTCTAGGACTGTGACGGTGAACCTTTTCGAGCCTCGAGTGCCCAAACGGGGGAAAACAAAAAAACAAAACAAATAAAACCCTGGCAGGTGGCAGC